AAGTTCTGGTTTCTAGTAGTACATTCCTCTCCTCCGCATCGTGGTTTCGCATCAGCAGCTTTGCTAGCTGTTGGTTGATTTTAACACTTGCTCACAAGCTAATTCCAAATAAAGATAGAAATGAAGATGAAATAATAATAACAATAATAATGATAATAATAATAGCGATAATAATAATGACAGTAATGACAGTGATGATAATACCAACAGTAATAGTAATAATGATAATACCAATAACAATATTCACAATAATGATGAAGATAATGATAGCGTTAATTATAATAGTAATAAAGGTAATGTATCTTCAACCTTCCATGCAAAATTCAACGTGATCTGATCATTGCTGTCATCCGAGCAGCAGTCGGAGCGTAATATTACTCAGTATTTTTGACGTATTCTCATTAAAGAGAGCAATCATCTCATGACAGTAACTGTAATACGCGTTGATTCGGCAGTAGAAGGGACCGTGTCGTGCGCGGTAAATCGACGTTCCTTCATGACAAAGCCTTCCTTGTTACTAGTTTTGATTGGCATCTTTTAGATCTTTGATTTGATTACATTTCAGGCTCGTCGATATCAGTTGCAGAATCAGATGGACCAGCTGAAACAGAAAAGTATGGAAATTTTAAGAACATGGCGTAACAAGAGAGATGATTTCATACGCGGATTCCTGGAAACCTTGCAAATGGATGGTGGAATTGGTTTTAATGTATGTCATGCTTTTATTAAAATCAGCCTACACTAACTAATTGGGTGAAATCTGAACATCATTTGGTGGTTGATTGGATCACTGCTATCAGCGAGTGTGGTATTCCATATCTCACTTCAATAAAATCACGGTGGAACTGAAAAGGCCACTTTCGCAAACGATGCTATGTTAGTGTTGGAAAAGACGTCTCGTAATTTGGTGAGGGACTATTAACAAGGTCCAGTCACAGTGTTGAGTTAAGGCGTATATGACTTAATGAACCAAAACCTCTTATCTCAGTCTTGCCTTCTCTCCTATACTACTGTTTTTTTCTGAATTCCTTCACACCTTCACCTTCTGCGTTTCCAGGTTCAATCTGAATGCTGTAATTTGTCTATCCATTTTGCTTTATTTTCTTCTTAGCACCAAATCTTTCGTTCGTTCGTGTGTGTGTGTGTGTGTTTTTTTTTTGCCCCAAGCAGTTTAGCTGGAATTTGTTGAACTAAAATATAAATGCTGGGCGAATTTTTATCAAATTTCAGATTGTTGGTAACCGATTGAGAACGCTTGTATCACGCAGTCCATCACCGCTCGAATATGAAGAGCAAGCGGAAGAGGATACGGTCGATGCCTCGTCATCCCTGGACGAAAATGGCTCATCATCAACTGATTCGAGCAGTCGAAATGGTGTCTCGTACTGACATACTCAGAAGATGCTACCGAAATTTTATGAAGTGCCCATTTTGCCATAAATTTTTGCTTCAGGGAACGATTTATTTTATTATAGCTGAGATATTAATATGGCTTAAACTTCCCATCATCGCTTTTTTTTATCCTCTTTTATCCTAAAATGTTATTCAGCCGCAGACAAATATCCAGAATTTGCAGAATCTGTATATGCAGTGAGTTTTTTTTCCGGTATTTATCTGAAATTATTATC